AAATAATTAGTAAAAATGTACAATTTAAGCAATAATTTATACTAAGACATTTTTATTTCATTTTTACAAAATTATATTAATTATTAATAATTAATCAAAAAAGTATATATTATATATATATATATAAATTATACTAATAAAATTATGGATAAAATGTGTTCATCATTAGTTCGTCGATCTTGATGAGAGTGTTAGATTGAAGATAAAATTTACAGATAATTCAATAGTGAAATATGAAGAAAAATGTAGAATCAGGATCAGAAGAAAAGAAGGCAAATCTTTAATAACTTCGGATGTACTTTATGTATCAACCATAAAGTACAATTTGCTGAGTATAAGACAACTACTTCAGAAAGGGTATTTGATTGATTGGAGATTAAGAGAACAAGTATTTAGAATCCTCAATAAGAATGAGACATCATTTGAAGGCACCTCTGAGTAAGAACAAAATTTTTTGAGTCAATATTTTAGTATTGAATAACTTATGTTTTGTAGCAGTAGTCTCAAATGACAATTGGTTGTGACATTTGAGGTTTAGTCATCCTGACTTCCATAGTTTGAGGCAACTTGGAGAGAAGGAGATGACGATTGGATTGGAGTCCAAAAAAGTAAAGACATATGTGAAGGCTATATGATAGGGAAACGAGCCAGAAATCCCTTCAAGGTGCGTATTGAGACCAGAAGAAAGAATACGTTAGAAGTTATCTACATTGATGTGTGTAGACCCTTCAATGTTTCTTCAATAGGTGGTAATAGTTATTTTGTGACATTCACCAATGACTATAACAAGAAGATGTGGGTGTACTTGCTCAAGAAGAAGTAAAAAATATTTAGTCACTTCGTCGATTTTAAATTGATGATTGAGAAATAAAGTCATAAAACTATAAAAGTATTGAGATCAGACGATGGTGGAGAGTATAACAATACTGAACTTGCATCATTTTGCAAGGAGAACAATATTTGCATGATATTATACCCCCATACACACCATAACATAGTGATGTTGTTGGAAGAAAAGATCGAAAGATTTTAAATATGGTCAAAAGTATATTAAAAACCAAAGGCTTGTCACATTCATGTTGGGGTGAAGCAGTATCGATAGTTATATACATTTTGAATCGATGTCCAACAAAAAGAGTAAAGGAGAAAACTCCAGAAGAAGTATGGTCTAAGAGAAAATCAAATATAAAACATTTGAAAGTATTTGGTTTAATTGCTTGGAGACATGTTCTATGAGAAGTGGAAGAAGCTCCATGATAGAAGACAAAAGTTAATTTTAGTAGGATATCCTGCAACTAGTGCATATAAGTTGTACGATCCTGTAAAAAATAAGATCATTATTAGCATATATGTTGTTGTTTATGAGAAAAATTACTAGAAATGATGTTTGATAGTGAAAAATCGAAGTATTAGCTTCGATGACTCAGGTGATACAGAAATCATAAGACAAAGATTAATCGATTTCTAGTATCAAAGGAGGAGAAAATTGATCGATTCTTGAAATCGAAAGAGAGGAAGAAATTGAAGGAAGGAGAAATCGATCAATTAGATTGATTAAGACACCAACTAGATTTGATGATTATGTAATCAATAATGATGATTCTATTACAACAACTGGATGGATGATTAAAGAAATAGAAGATGATAATGATCTTGTGCATTTAACCTTGTATGCTGACATCAACCCTGAACTAGTTTTCTTTGAAGAAGCAATCGAGGATCCCAAGTGGATCAAAGCCATGAAAAATTATTTGTTGGCAATCGAGAAGAACAGAACATGGGAATTAGCTAATCTCCTAGAGAATCAAAGGCATATTGGAGTAAAATGTGTGAACAAGACGAAGTTAAAACTGGACGAAACAATTGCAAGATATAAAGTCAGACTCGTGACGAAATGTTTTCTATAGAGAGAAGGATTAGACTATAAAGAAGTGTATATACCTATTGTTAGGATGGAGATGACAAGAACAGTGGTAGCTCTTGCTAACTATAAAGGGTGGTGATACATCTAATGATGTAAAATCTACATTTTTAAATGGTGACCTGGAGGAAGAAGTTTATGTTACACAACCACCAGGGTTTGTGATAATTGGAGAAGAACAAAAGGTTCTCGGATTGAAAAAAATATTATATGGTCTGAAACAAGCTCTGAGATCCTAGAATACTAAAATCGATTATTGTCTTCAACAACAAGTTTTTTGAAGTATGAGATTGAAAATGAGATTTAATCGAAGATCGAAGGTGATGATTTGTTGATTATTTGTCTATATGTTGATGATTTGTTGATTAGTGACAATAGAGTTACTTGGATCGAGAGTTTGGTTAATTAAGTCATAGGAAGACTAGAGAAGACAATGCCACTAAAAATCGATAACAAGTCAATCATCAATTTTGCTAAAAATCCTAATCATCATGGAAGAAGTAAGCATATTAGACTGGAGATTTTATTTTATTAAAAATGAAGTTAAAAATAAGAAACTAAAGCTTGAATATTGTAGTACAAAGGATAACTGACAGATATTATGATTAAACCTTTGAATAATCAAATATGTGTAGAATTAAGGGAAAATCTGAATATTTAATTGATTATTGAATTATAGGATTATATTAGATGATAATTCAATAATAATATTGTAATGATTGTGTTTAATTAGGTTAGTTAGCCAAACAAATCTTAATTATTATTTTAAATTTTATAGAGTGTTTCAATAAGACGATTCTATAATTCAGTTTTACATTAAATATAAAATTTATATTTAATGTGACTCTTCCTCTCGAAATTATCTTCAAATAGTAGAGCTCAGACCAATAACTAAAAAACTAGTAGTAGATTGTTTATCTCTACACAACTTTAATATTCTTCATTGATGATTGATAGATAAGGAGAAATGCGCTTATATAAGCTATCAGGTGGCTGTTGCATCTAAGCGCAGGAATACTTGGTTGTGAAGACCACCGTGGCGGTGATGGTTGAAGTGGCCACTTTGAAACGGGTCAAATGTTTATTAAGGATTCAAAAGAAATGCTTTTAAAAAGTTTAAGAACTAAAAATATTTTTTTCTCTATTTTTTATTTATTAATTAATTTATACTTATAAAAAAATTATTATAAGAAAAAAAATGTGTCATTTCTCAAGAATTGAATCATGGAAAAATTATAAAAATTAAATATTATTGTTCTGATATGGGCATATACGACCTGATGGGTGGAGATGAAGACCGACGTGAATTGTGCGGATATCGAAGAGGAGATCACTCACAGATAATTTTCATATACTTAAGTCACGTGATTTTTTTTTGTCTATAACATTTTTTCTTTAAATAATAATGACATATAAAAAAGATATTAACTTGTTAAACATCATATTTTACAGAGTATCATATATAATATGTAGATGTAGATATACCTAATTATGATCATTCACATAACCTAACCTCTACCAAACTCATTCAAAGCCAGAATTGAAGTGACTGTTCATAATCTGTCTTCTTGTGGGATCAATGAGAAGTCGCTTTTATGGAAATTGTGTGGCAATGGCAAAAATGGACCACAGCAGCTACCTCAACGTCTATAAAGATGCTTATCAAATTCGTAATTTAAATATTTTTCAATTCTAGTAAAAATCAAACAAATTATATTTTTTGTCATCGAGTGTATATATTTTGAAGTTGTTCATGCATATTTAATGATGACAAAAAAAAATTATACAAATACTTAATGTGTAACATAATATTTAAATTGTTAAATTAGTATCCAAAAATAAACAGAGGTTTATCTATATACATGAATATTCAAGGATGGAAGGTTATCATACTAAATTAACCAATATCTATAAAATATGAAAAATGATACGAGGTAGATTTTTATCATCCTATAAAACAAATTATGGAAAGTCGTTATTTATTCTTATTCTGTCTCATTGTCATATCAGTCTTCAAGAATGGATGGTTCAACTATGGGTGATACTTAAAAACAAATAAATAAATATTCCCAATTTATCCACATGCGTGATTATTTTACTTTACAAAAGTTAATACAAGTTTTTTTTAATGGACTTTAAAATTAATCTTTAACAATCTTAGTCGTAGATGGTGTATATTCATTCTAATTAAATTCATAATTATAAAAGTAACGCATTGTTTTTCATTTAAAGACAAAGTAGTATTATATTACTATAGGATATGTGCTTTTGTAAACTATAACAAGTTATTACTTTTTCTTTTTTATGTTGCTATCATTTGCTCATCTTAAATTGATAGGAGAATATATTATATTGAAGTAACAAACAAGGTGTATGTAATATTGAAGTAAAAATAATAAATTAGATAAAATAAGTTTTGAGGAAAAAAAGAGAGAGAGAAAACTATTAGATTAAAAACGAAAAAAAAAAAATATATATATATATATATATATATATATATATATATATATATAACAAGAAAAGAAAGGTAAAACGGATTAAGTGGATTTGAGGACATGGAACAAATGATTATCTTTCTCTTTGTTGAAAAGTTAGACATTACCAAGTCAGTGATTAAAATCAATGTCATGCTTAACTTGAATGTGTGTGTAGAACATGTAGTTTTGAGGGTAATTTAGTTTTATGTAAACATCATGACTTATGTAACTTTTGACCCTGTAGAGATTCCCATCAAAACATTCATTTATGCTAGTCAGAATGTTTAGAAAAAAATAATTTTCTTAAAATTTTGTTGTCTTTATTATGTAACATAAGATTAAATTTATTGGAGAACTTGGTTAGCAGAGAAGGGAGCCAAAGGCAATGGATGAGCAAGATTCATAGACAGGCATGAGTGGATTGGTCCAAGTTGTTGGAGAAGAAAAGAGGATATGAATTAGGGAAAAGATAAAGACAAACCAAAAGAAAAACAGAGGCAATAATTGCAATAATGATGGATCGTTTCTACTAATTTGTTTTATTTTAATAGTATTTTTTGTGCACATTGAATAGCGTGTTATTATTTTTCTCTCACTTTCATATGGTCCTAGAATCAGATGTTTTCCACTGGTTCTGGCTACCAGTCCACCACAAATCAAAACACAACAACACGCTTTGCTTTAAGACTGACACCATGGTAGAGTCCACTACCACTACCACCTACATGCCGCCAGAGTCCCCAACCCTCCGCCGCCACAACTCCCTCGCCGCCGCATCGGCCAGCAAACTAGCCATCCCCACCTCTACGCCGCCGCAGCGCACGACGAGCTTGGAACTTGTCTCCTTAAAATCCCCCTTCTCCGTCTCCTACACATCCCTCAGAGACGTGCTCCCTTCCCCCAACGCCGCCGTGAATTCCCCCACCGCCTCCGCGTACTCCGCCCGAGAGATTTCCATCCGCAACCGCCTCGTAAAGCAGGCTGCTTGGGCCTACCTCCAGCCCATGTCCGGCTCCCCCAACGGCGCCTCCACCCCCCACTGCCTCCGCCGCCTCTCCGCCACCTGCCTCGGCTTCTTCTTCCACCACATGGTCCCCGCAGTTTCCCGATTTTTCCGTCGAATGATTCGCGCTATCAGGGTCCACGTGTGCACGCGATGCTACTCTTGACAACCGACACTGCAACTGCAAGTCCTTTGCTTTGTGTTCGATTCAAGAATAGGTTAAGGATATGCTCCTCGTATTTTTTTATATTTTTACTTTTTGAATATTTGTATAGAATTTTTGTAGCTTCGCGTTTGCCTCTCAACTGTTGTGGCCTCAAATTCAAAGTATATACGAATGAATGAAAGAATGAATAATCAATTAAAGTGTTTCAAAAGAGAGGGGACAAAAACAAAGCATTCTTTATATTACAAGCAGAATGAGACTAATTATGGGGTTGACGTAAGAATGTACAAAAAATGTTACAGTTCTGTGGTGAGCTTCGCTTTATTAAAGCGCCTTAGTTCCCTTTCTTGTTCTTGCGGCCTGGGAAATTGTTATGGTTGTTTTCAAAGAGAGAGTCTCGAATTGAAGACAGTGGTGGGGCACTTGGAGTTGAACCCATCTTGTCATTTTTCTGCATTATAACAATATCTTCAGTAACTTCAGTTTAATTTATATCAGGTTAAAATAGGAAATGGATGACATTTTTGCTACGCGAAGATGTCTTCAATCAATACATCATTGTGAAAGAAATGTTCAATTTTTTAATTTATAAAGAAAAAAAAATTCTAGTGCATGCAACTTGCATTGTTCATTAATATTAAAAAAAAATTAGGAGTCAAAATAAGAATGGTTCTGAAGTTGGAATGTGACTATGGAAAAGGGAATTAACCTTAGCGAAGGATTTGCTGGAAAATTTTTTAGATTGTGCAGCCAAGAAGTCGAGAATCTGGAAGGTTGTAGCTTGCCCCAACTCTGTGCAGTTCTGCCAGTAAAAAATGGCCAAATCCCATGCCCTAGCTCGCCACTCGCGAAACTTTTTCTCAATGTCATTTTCATGGCTTGACACATAAGGCCGCAATATTGCATTATAAACATATCCCGTCCCCTGCGTTAAGCAACATTTATACCGATGCATCAGAAACCAAACATGTCTTTCTTTTTTTTCTGGAGGGGACAAGTTCCAAATTGGTTATTTATAAACAAGCAAAATGAAAGAAGTAAGAAGACCATAAGTCTAAACTCCAAATTCTTCTAACTCACTCTTCCACACCCTAGAAGAAAGAGTCACAAAAAAACCTTCCTCAAACTCCAGAAGACTTACACGCAAATTCTAATAACCTTCTTTAGTAAACCAAAAGAAATTAAAAGCAACAAATAGTGTTAAAAAAAGAAAGCTAAAAAGAGCCAAAGAGGCATCCTTATATCGCTTTTATATTCTTACCTTAGTTTTGGGATACCACAAGTAGATAAAGAGTGCAAGCTTCAATTCTCCATACATGGGAACCCTACATAAATGTTCAGCATTAATATATTGCTCAAATCTAAATCAATTACACATTTACATACCCAAACATATCTAAATCAAATTTAGCATTATACAGATAGCTAAAACGTCAAGCACTCACCATCCAATAACTACATCTGCAAAATTCTCCAGTACTGTGAAAAGTGCTACAATGATCCTGCAAATTAATGTTGCACAAAGACATGATTCAGAGGCGATACCTCATTACCGAACAATATATATATATATATAAAAAGTTAAACAAATTTGACAAGGAATCACTTAAGCTTTCTTCCCCCAACATCCCAATGAATTTTGCAAGCTCAACATAAACCAGCCGCAATTATCATTCTCAACCTTTATGTGTAATTCTCAACTCCATTTGTAAGAAAAAGGAAACCCATTAAACTTCTGCTGGGATGATTACATATACCCGAAACAAGCATCATATACTTCTTATCTACACAACTGATGCTGGGCTTAAAATATTACTCACGTTCACTAGGTGCACATGGGTTCCCTGTGTGCTCCACCCTTCAAGGTATTGACCTCCCTTTTGGATATTCCTAAAGAAGATCTCTTTCTTGGCCAAAACTCAATCACTTAATTTTTAATTCTTAATCCTTAATAAGATCTACGCTCATTCTTCCCCATCATCCCACATCTTCAATAATTAAAATGTAATCATATGACCGAAATTATAACAATCAAAAGCCAAACAGAACATTTCAGAACCATATAGGCAAATGGAAGATGGATTTTTGTACCAGTATTGACACCAGAATCGAAGTTCATCATTACCAGCCCTGCTGTTCTCCACAGTTTTGTAGCATTCAAATCCAGGATACGCATACCCCAGAAGCAATCTGAAATTTAAGATGGTATAAGAATATTGAACAGCATAATACCATTCGGACATAAAGAGAAAAACCAAAAGGTTTATTCTTACATAAGACATCGAGTGATGAAATCCCCCAGCATTTCCGATCCCTACTCTACGACAAGCAGAAACTCTGAGACCCAAGCAAACAACCCATCAAAATTATGAACCGTTAAAAAACTTTGGTTGAGACTTGGAGAGGTTGCGGTTATAGTTGCGTGACACAATGTCTTTCTTTCTCCTTAAGAAAAAAAAAAAAAAAAGGGAAACGCTTTTTCAGCATTCACCTGTTTCACGAGAATCCAATAAACCAGTGCCTGGGTTGAGTCCCACGTTTGACAAAGTCAGAGACACCCTTCAAGCTTCAAACAGATTGAGGTGCCCTTAAGGAAAATGAACAAGTATATACTTGAGACTTTATAAAGATTGGAAAATATGAGGTTTAATCCTCTAGAAGAATACCTGTTTCTCTATGAAAAACTGAATGCCGAACAAGCCTTGCGAAAAAATATATATAAGAAAGGATCGCAGTCGTGAGAAGGAACAAACGCAGAAATTCAAAAAATTAAAATAATCAGAGAAGAAAGAAATATTAAACGGGATTTCTTGTCACGGACGCAAACTCACGAGGATTCTACCAAAAGTAAAACTGATTCACCGTTTGGCAGTTAAGGCACGCACCCATATATGCCCCTTTACGTAATTTCGAATGCATTTTCAGATGAATTTAATTTTCACGCATCATTAGGGTATTCAAGACGTTTAAATAAAAGTCAACAAACAAACTTAGTGAAAGTATACTTGTGTATCATTTTGTTTACTGGGTTGATTAGGTCAATCAAGACTATAATGATTGTTTGCATACGAAAATAAAGTTGATAATATGACAGATGTAAAAATAAATAAAATTAGATAGATTAGTTAATGTTTAGTTGTAGAAAATCTAATGCCATGAATGATGGTTGTTGACCCAACTATATGATATTCAAGAACAAAACTGTTTACTGGTTCTTATCCTTACATGCTTGTCATCACTCACGCCCTTGATGCAATTAGAACTCTTCCTAATGGTGAGATGCAACAAACAAAGAAGACAGATTCCTTGAGATATTATATTATGCCTAGTAGTTTTTTTCATTTATGCTTTTAACCTATCTGGCTCAGTAAAATGAGGAAATAGCAGGATAAATATCTCACTTCAATTAATGATTTCCGTTGAGTGTCTAGTGATGTTTACTGTGTCGATATCGTTAAGTTTAATTTTTAGGTACGAACTATTATTTATATTGAAATTTTGATTATCATTATTTTATTTTTAAAAGACGTCTTAAAAAAATATATAAGTTATCTTATCTCGATTATAATTAATGTAGAACTTTATGAATCTACCGAAATCATGATTAGTTAAGACTCTGTAAACGAAACATCTAGATTGATAAAATTAATTGTATAATTTGATATGAAAGTGTATATTTTATGAAAAAAAAAAAAAAGTCTATTAGTTTAAAAGTCGTAAGTAGTCAAACACAAGAAATTGCGTCCATGGTGGCTGAAATTGAAATTTGACCAAAATTTGGTAACTTGTGTAATGTGTTTTAGTGACATTTGTAGACAGAAAGCAGAACACAAACTAGTTCTAGAAAGCAGAAAAGAATAAATGTTAAGTGTCCTACCAATTTATGTCATTAATCCTTGAATTTTATTTTGCTACAGTTTTTATACAATTATTAGATTTTAGGATTCCTTTACCTCTCTTTTTTCTACTATTTTATTTCCTGATCTCCTACTCCCTAATGCATTATTAGATCTTACTGTAGTTGTAAGATGTATTTGACTAAAGAAATTGATATAAAAAATATACAATAGATTAGATTAAAATAATTTATTATTATTTATTTTAATTTGTGGTCTAACTAATCAAATTTATAAGTGTACTATTTTAAGTAATAATAATTATATTTTTAAAAAATAAAAATAATATTATTTTCTAAAAACATATTCATATACTATGATATATATATATATATATATATATATATATATATATAATTAATTTCATTAATATCATTTAAATTTTAGAATACAATTTTTATTTTTTAATTAAAGTTATTTTTTAATATTTTAAAGTACATCCGAAGATTGATATAAAAATGGACACATAACAATCCATTTAAAATATAAGGACAGATAATACAAATTTTATTAGGTGGGTCATGAAATTAAATTATACCTCCATTTTAACATTTCTAAGTCTAACAATAATTTCCTCTTGGAAAAATGTTGAATTACACCTCCATAAGTTTTTTGTTTAAGTGAAAGATATAGAATAAAAAAATAGATATACGAATATAAATGTTACAACATTTTTTTATTATATTATTTATTTTGATATTTTCTGTTACTTTTCATTTCTCTTATAATTATATATTATTTTACACAAAATTTTATTATGAAAACACATCATTAATATGAACGTGTGTTTTTCTTTTCTCTGTTTTGCAAGTTGTTCCCGCATCACTTTAATATCGTAAAAAAAAATGGTGCATAATCAAAGTTAATATGATTAAAATTATTGAGAATATTACTTCTATTCTGTAAATGAATTAGAAGAAAAATAGTTGCATTATTGAGCTTGTAACTAACATGATGAGCTTTGCACACAATTTTTAATTGATAAAATTTGAATTTGAATCTTAAATACACACTTATACTAAATATTTAGAAAGCAAGTTTTTTTTCTGTAATTATTTTTGTTTAAACAAGATAAAAAAAAATATCAATACCTTTATATATATTGCGTTGAATTGGAATACATAAAGAAAATATTATAATTTATAGGAAGTGTATTTTTAAATTGAATCTATTAAAATTATAATGATAAGATCTTGAAAACAAAATTTTATAAAGTCATTTCAAATTTTATAATTATATATTATTGAAAAGTTAAAATATCAATTCAATGCTTATTTTTTTTACATAAACCATAATACTTGTTAGGATAAATTTATTTTTATTTACTATAAAACGGTAAAAATTTCACTTTCAATATTCAAGGTATACAAAACACTCCAACTCGAAGTGTTTGGAGCACTACTCCTAGTTTGAAATAATAAGGTCTTCATTTGAATCAAAATAAACAATATTATAAGAAACCTTATTAAATTGGATTGATAATTTTTTTCGTAAGTATTTGTCAAATGGGTAATGAAATTTTAGTTTCTTTTTTATTTCTATTTTTATTTTAAAAAATAACAAATTTCAAACTAAACTTATGTGCATGACTACTTCAACCCAATCCTACGTAACACTCATAATATTTTACTCTTTTGTATCTACGTCATTGCTTATTTCATATAATGGATAATTATAATAATGTCAAATAACGAAGATTCTGCTTTTTAATTAAAATAACTAAGATTAATCAACAATTAATTGTCTTTGTGTGTAAATTTTAGTTATGCAAAACAACATGTTTGTAACTTGGAAGATCACAGCAACCTAACAACGCTATTTAAAACGCTTTTTTATTTTGTTGCATTTAGTTTAATTTCTTAAAGTATTTTAGAATTAAAATCGTATGCACCGTTAATGTGAAGGAGTTGGTAACAAAATTATATTGATACATATTAATGTTTTAACATATTTCTTAGTTTGTATTAACACGTTACTTATCAAATGTTAATAGCTGAATAAACTGTTATATCTATTAAAATATTATTTAATAAAACTATTTGCATAAACACAATCAATATTAAATTGATTTAAAATATCATAAAATTTGGTAGTGTCATATTAATAAAAGGACTATTATCACTTGCTTGTACTATTTTAAAATAAATATATGTTTCAATTAAAAGTCTTCAGTAAAAATTTTAAATATAATATTTGAAGTGAAAGTAAGAGCTGTTTAGAATAAAAAAACATTTTATTAAAAAATAGCAATTAAAAATAATAATAAACATTTTATTATTGTTTTGATATGTGAATCACTTAAAATTTAAAAAAGGAAAAAAATATTTTAACAAACTTTCAAGTAACTCATATATCTATAATAAAATATTTATTTGTATTTTTAAATAATTCTTATTAGCAATTTTTTTTATACGTCTCTATTTTTTTCAATATTAAAAATCTATCAATAGCTAGAAACCATAACCAATGTAAACATTTTTATAGTCAATTTTCAAGCGTTCATTTATTTGCATTACGAGGAATTAACTGTTTTTTTTATTAGACTAGAACTATTGATAATTTTTATATTTTTCATTTTTATAAAATTCAGTCTCTAAGTAGATAGGATATTAAACTTTATTGTTCATACATATATTAAGTAATTGAAAACATAAAAAATAATAATGTTATTGAAAAGTTATAACAAGGCACAGCAAATGAGTGGAATTTACTGAGATAGCAGTGAAACCAACATAATTAATTGTTCAGCTTTGTGTGTGTTTTTATATTAATAGCGTTTTTGTTATAATGACTTACATTGTAAGTATTGCACCCAGCTTGCAAATAAAAAATTGTGAGTGACCAAAGTGACGAAATAACGCGGATAAGGTAAAAGTTTAATTGGTATTGGCTTTGGATTGCACTCATCCATTTGACTCGATAATTGGGTTTCCGCGGAAACCGACCCTTCCACGAAATACTGATAATTAAGTAATTTTAAAGTGGAAAGCAAGTCTAACATTGGAATTTTGTACAATGTTGAATTCGTCCAATGGTAATATTGGTGAAACCATTAACAAAAATAGGAACAAACAAAGTTAGATGTCATTCTATCATTGACGAATTGATTTGTCCAATTTGATTCATGTTCGCAATAAACCACGCTTCTCTTAACACAAACATTAAACATGGCTTGTTGTGACAGAAATATGATCAATCAATGTGTTTAGATAAATTCTCTGTAAATACTTTTTTTTCTTTAATAAATAAAAACACTGAATAAATAGGTTTGTTCATTTTAAAAATGGTTATTTATTGATCTGCTTCAATTAGCTAAATGAACCAGTTTTATTTGGACCACTGATTTGATTTGAAAAGGTTGTTTCTTCCACGTTACCATGTTTTTTTTTCCTCTATCTCATATTTATAT